AAGCATGTATGCTCTCCAGAGAGAGATGGAGAAAGAAAGCAAGCACACCACAGTGGAGTGTGCCCTATCCTTGATTTCTCCATTTTGTTAGGATCTAGGGCATGTACACACATGTGCCAGTCATGTTTCTCAAGCCATCAGAGCCAGGATTCCAATCACAGTCTACCATGAGGGACCTGGCTCCCTTAAACATTAGTTAGACAAAGAATCCAGGCCAGCAAAGAATTGCTTTGTATAGGATTTAGATAACAGTGCCAATATAGAAGCTGGGGAGTGTATCTGGCAGCCAGAACACATTATAAATCCTTGCTGATGACTAGAACAGCAGATTCTCCAGGTGAGGGTGTATTGAGAACAGAACCACCAAGGACCTTTGGGGCAAGTCAATTATATGTGAAGAGGAAAAGGACAGTGGCTCACTCATGAGAGATGGCAGCACAAGAAAAAGCCTTTCTTATTGAAATCTGTGCCTAGTAATAAGAATGTCTGGCAGTGGCCAAATTCTTATTTTATATGAGAAGACTGCCAAATTTTTATTTTACATGAGAAGATCAAAAGGCAGACATCCAAAGCAAGCTATTGGTGTTGACGAAGAAAAAAAAATATATATATATACACACACATATATATATATAATTAATTTCTAAACACTGATAATATGTATAGGCCTTGGGTTAGTTTTACAAACCTCATTGTAAAATATCCTTTTCATAGGTGTCTCATTTTTTCTTTGCTTTTCAAAATTTGCCAAACAGTATATGTTCTCTGGAAAGGGACAGAAGGAGAGAGAGAAAGCAAGAAAGCACCCTCTTATGGGGAATGGTCAGGCCACAATCTCTTCTCCTCCATTATTCCCTCCTTCTGGGATTTCAGCATGCATGCACAAGTGCCTGGTGTGTCTCTTGAGATACCAGGCCTGAGACTCAAGCTACATGATTGGCTATGTGGGATTCAGCACATGTAACCATCAGGTCCAGGGCTAGGCCTACAGGTGTTTTTCTAAACCAATGCTAAATAGAGTAAATCTGAACAAAATGAGACCGTTGAACTCTTAAAGTGAATCCACCAATGAAAACTACTAAGTAATGATAACTGGACTGAAAGTTACAAAGACTCACTGAGCCCAGCTGGCTCACAGAAGGAATATCCTGCACAAATGATGAGAAAGCTAAAGTAAGTGAAGGGGGTGTAGTGATGTCTGGTGTACCAATGTCTCACTAGGAATAGAGTGAGACATTGGTACACCAATTGGGAGCCAAAAAGAGCTAGTCCTGCATTTATCCACATCTCTGACTCTGAATGTCACCCCTAATTCTCACTACGCAAAAGAACTGATAAAATGGCAATGAGCTATGAAAGGCTTGCTACCTCTTAAGGTCAAGAGTATGGCAAAGCAAGAACTGTGTACATGAACCTAACAGTGAATTCTGGGACCTTGTTAAACCTGGGCTCTAATTCATTCCCTCATTGCACAGCCCTGAAAACTTACATAAACTCACTGTCCATCAACTTTCTAAAGTTAAACAAAAAAAGAAGAAAGAGTATTTATCTCTCTGTTATCTAAGTGTTTGTGTGAATACCTGAACAGAGGGACTCCTCAGAAAGAAAAGAAAATGCAAAATGAGCACAGCACCATATGTGGCACACAGAAAACAACCACTCTACGGGTACTGACTATATGAATGAAGACACGTCCTCCTGTAAGACAGAGGACATGCAGCTGGCATACCATCACTGAAGGACCTCCCAATGTTTCCAGAAACTGATTTGGAGTGCTTGGGACAGTAAGTGAGAGAAGCACAAAATATGAGTGTCAACGACTCATTTACTATGCCTAAGGTCACTCTGACAGGAACCATACACTTATGAGGATCAGATGACATGGGACATCTTAAGGCATTACAGCCAAACGAGTCAGAAAAAATAGGTTTTTGCCATCCAATATGCCAGTGCTGAAGAAGGAAGGTAGAAGGTACCTTGGGAAGGGGTAAATCAGGTACTAGGCCCATAGACTCTTTTTTTTAGATTTCTACAAAACAACTGGTCTATTTCTTTCAAAACTTTTTTTTTTTCTTTAGAATGGTTTAAGATTCACAATAACATTGGGAAGGAGAAAAGGTATAGATATATAACATAAGCTTTTTCCATTCTCAAATGTATAGTTTCTCCCATTAGTAACCAGTGTGGTATATTTGTTATAATTAATGGACCTACACTGACATTCAAGTCTACAGTCTACATTAAGATTCACACTTGGGGTTGACAATTCTATGTAGGCCCATAGACTCTTCAATGCTTTTCAGCAACCACTTTTCAGATAGTATTTGAAAGTTAACTGATGGCTAATCTAATCAAGAAATGAAATGTTACAGCATTGTGCTCCATCATAACGCACAGCCCTGCTTGCAAAGGAATGAGTCCATTCATTCATTCAGCCTAAACTGATTCTTACCATAAGCAGGTGCACAAAGAGTCATGAGGGGTGCAAAGGTGAGCATATCTTGCTTGCACCACACTGAATGTCTGGGTTCCCCTCAAATCCGTAACTTGTAATCCTGACCCCCAATGTAAAATCATTAGGAGATGGAGCCTTTTGGAAGAAGCCCTCATGAATGAAATTAGTGTCCTTATAAAAGCAGCCCTGGAGAACTCCCTTATCCCTGCCACTACGTACAGACACAATGAGAAGGTGCCGTCAGTGAGGAAGTGGGCCCTCACCACACATTGAACTTGAAGATGCCTTAATCTTGAACTTTTCACACTCTAGAACTATGAGATAGACTTCTGTTGTTCATAATCCATCCAGTCTATGGGGTTTTGTTGGAGTAGCTTAAATGGACTAGGATACTACTCTTCATTCTTCATGTCTAATGAAGGAAGTGAGGCAGGTCAGTTCTGTTACATACAACGTGGATGGTTCTGTATACTAAAGTCGGGGAAGGAATTCCTCCAACCCTAAAGGAATTAAATAAGGCATAAAAGTTTACTTTTGGGCTAGGTCTTGCTTAGTGAGGATGAGGAAATCAGGGCACATTCTAGTCACAGAGAAGGTCCTATAAAAAAGATGCACAGAAAAACTCCATGTGTTTGGGCAATGGTAAGAAGATGTTTATAGCTAGGACTTATGTGTTTTGGAAAGGGGTTAGGAGAGGTGAGAGATACAGCTGGAACAGTGGATTTGAGTCATGCTATTTATAACCTTGACTATTACTCCAAGTAGTTTGTGCTTGGTTCTTTTTGTGTGTGTGGGTTTTTTGTTTTTTGTTTTTTTTTTTGAGAGATTTTCATTATAGGGCGCGTGCGCTCGCCAGACAGACAGAGAGAGACATAGAGACAGAAAGTGAGAAATCCCCCCCGGGGGGATGGTCACGCCGCAATCCCTTCTCCTCCATTCTCCTCTCAGGATCTTGGGCACGCACGCACACGTGCCCGGCGTGAGTTTTAAACCACCAGGTCTGGGACGTGAACCGCAGTCAATTACGTGGGAGTCCAGCGACATAGCCATTACGCTAACTGCTGGTTCCCAGTTTTTTTTCTTTTTTTTTCAAAGAATTATTTTCTTTAACTTTATATATGTATTCACTTATTTTCATTTTGACTGGAGAGGGACAGAGAAACAAAGTGAGAAAGCAAGCCACCAGGTCTGGGATTTGAATCACGGTCAGTCATGTGAGTCCAGTGCCCTTAACCACCATGCCACCTTTCAGCCCCCAGTTTGGGCTTAGTCTTGAAGGTCTTGTAAACATAACTCAGATCGACATGAATGACTATTTCTTAGGTTGTCAGGAAAGTCATCATGCAATTTTTGTATAGAAAAATACATCTCGACTTTCCTCACAAACAATAAATTGTAGGACCACTTAACATATTATTGTAATAGGATGGGCAAAAGTACAGAGAACTCAAATTAAGTGTGTTAGTGATGTTAAGGAATTAGGTGCAAAGACTGGCGAAGAGGAGAGCAAAGGAAAATTCTGTGGCTTCCATGACTGTTGGTTCTAAGGATTCTTGGAGGAAGAACAAGACCAGAGATGATATCCTCAGTTGGGCACACTCTATGTCAGGTTCAGTTCCCTCTTTCATAAAATGAGAATAAATGAAAAAACAAGAAACTGGATCTTTCATTTATTCTGAGGATTCAATAATATAACAAACAAAAAACAATACTCTTATTTGTGACTAGGATATAGAAATACGGACATAGAGAAAATCTGGGGTGGAAAAGAAACATTCGGGAATTATTGGTAGATAGGTTGGAAGTATTAAATGTATAAGCTTGATTAGGGAGATGGCATTCTTTAATTTGGTTCCAGATCTTTGATGCATACAAATAGACAGAGCACAAGGCATTATAAAGGCTGGCAAGACAACTTTGAAGAATTGGTCAAACACAGGAAAATGGCCTGATGGAAAAAATAAGCAGCACATAACCAAACACACCAATTCTGTCCAGAAGCTGACAGGACAGAAGCTTGGAGAAAGTGGACTTGAACTTAGTAGGTTATAAGTACCCCCCAAAAGTGATTCCAGTGGTGGGAAAGGGTAAAAACTGGGTCACAGTTCACTTAGAATGTTACACTTTCATGACATATTTTGACACTGTATAACCCTTTCCTTGGGGATTTCATTTTGTAGGGCTGAAACACTGAGATTTTACTCTCTCCCAGGAACTATGAATAAAATGTTTCTCTTATTTAATTTGGTGAATAGAGGGACTTGGGAATTAGACTGAGAGAAAATGACTGTTGTTGGGATTCACTGTTAAATTTTTTCATGGAAAAAAAAAAAAAACACAAAACACTTGGGACCTGGGGGGAAGGAGTATGGAGATGATAGGAACAGAACAGCACAAACCACACCACAGAACCTCTGCTATAACGCAGAAAGCGGTACTAGCCCAGCACTGGCAGGACAGAGGGAAGTGCCTGAGACTCTACACACACTGCCAAAGCCATTTAAGATACACACTTGCAAGCACTTTATGACATAACACCTCTTACCTTTCTTTTGATATCGGTGAACTGGGAAAATATTAAAGACCAATAAAACGACAACTGCAGGATGTAATAGTAGTGAAGGTCAGTTGTGAGTGGCTGGGGATAAAAGAAACAAGGAAGGATTAATAGTTAATAAGGAACTCAATGTGTAGCCCACGTATTTCAAGCATAGTGCTGAGAAGTAGCATGGTCTTACACCTGCACAAATGCAGTTCCTGCCCTGTTCTCATTGGAGACAATGGAACTTTGAAGGATGCCTCTTATCCACAAATTGCTGGTATGACTCGTTTTATCTCCAACCCAAAAACATTAATGGACACTAACATTTGGAACCCAACTCACTATTCAGGTTAGCAAAAGCACTTATAAGGGTTCTTTGACGTAAGTAATTCCAAGATTCCTTAGGTAATCTTTAAAAAATTCTAATATATACACAGAAAGAATAACCCTGGCCAATTGCAGTGAGATTCCATAGCGCACAGACAAGGGACAAAGGTGATAAAAACTGGATTACTATGTGGATCACTGAGGTACAGTTTCTAGTTCTGCATTAATCAAAAGCTTTCTTGTTATTAGTAAGTGTTCAGTATGTTGCAAATAAAAACTTAAGAAAGAAAGAATGATTTGGGACTAGCAGATGGCGCAATGGTTACATTGCTGGACTGCCACATAGTTGACTGCAGTTTGAGTCCTGGACCCGGCAGCTTAAAACTATGCCAGGCATGTGTGTGTGTGAATCCAAAATCCTAAGAGGGGAATATAGGAGAAGGGACTGTGGCATGGCCATCCCCCTGGGAGGTGGTTTCTCACTTTCTGTCTCTCTGTCTCTGTGTTGAGCACATGTACCCTATAGCAAAAATTTCTCTAAGAAATTTACTGAAGACCTACCCGTGGTGGTGCTTGCTGCTAAGATGTTGTGCTGCATAGGCTAGGACTACATGAGAGGCCTGGGTTCAATTCCCTGTCTAAACTAAAGCCCAGGCATGATGGCAAGTGCCCACAGTCCTAGTCACTCAGAAAATGGAGGCAGGAGGATCATGAGCTTGAGGCTCGCCTTGACAACATGACGAGACCCTATCTGAAAGGGGTGAGCATCATGTACACATTCGCATTCTCACACACACACACACACACACACTCACACACACACAACACACACACAAGATTAAATGGACAGGGAGGCTGCCAAGAGATACCAAACTAGGCACCCAGGTAGGAAATCTGAGATAAAGTCTCAGTTCCATAGCTTAGTAGGTATAAAACCTGGACCTTAGTTTGCTCACTTACCAAATGAGGGTGATACTTGCTTTAACTGACTCAGAGGCTCAGGAATAGGGGGAGTCTCAGAGAGTCAGTAGAAATCAGGAATATTTATTTTATGCATGAATCCATAAAAACAAAGCAGAAATTTTAGAAAAAAAGTTTTTACGATTTTTGCTATAGGGCACGATGTTTGCTGAAGCTAAACAGAGAGAGACAGAGAAAGGGGAAAGTGAGAAACAAGTCCTCAGGGAGGATGGCCACACCACAGTCCGTTCTCCTCCACTCCTCTCTTGGGATTCCGAGCATGCACACATATGTGCCAGACATCTATTTTCAAGCCACCAGGTCTGGGACTCGAACCACAGAGTTGGCCATGATTTGATCCAATGCCTTAACCACCACGCCACCTACTGACCCTAAGAAACATTTTTATGAGTTGTTTTTAATTGCCTTTGAGTTATATTTAAGTGTCTTGCTTCATTTGAATAAATTAAAAGTCTTTTAAACTTATCACACAAAGCAATGGTAAAAACAATTCAAATTCTGTGCTTCGTACACCAGTGGCAGGCAGTGAGATGAATATCATGAAAGGCTGGCACTAGCTCAGCTACCAACTCTAAACATGAACTTCAAGGAAAACAGTCTCCTGCTTGTGGACTTAGGGCAACAAAATGCACAGTGGGATAATAAACTCTCCATTCAACAACCCTAAACTAGAAGTTACTATGAGCACTGCTGTGGTCTGAACCTTTATGGCCCTGCAACTTTCACATGTAGAAGCCCAGTGTTCATGTGCCTGGATTTGGATGGAGGTGGGGCCTTCGGGAAATGATTAGGTCATGAGAGCAGCCATCATGAATGAGATTAGTGCCCTTTATAAAAAGGGACAGGATCTTTTATAGTATGTTGTTTCACCAGCCGAAATTAAGACGAGCATCAATGTTTTATCAAGCTTAGTATCACCTGGGAGAGAATGTATCTCCCATTAAGCTGTCCTTTTAAAACTTGGAGGCACTAGTTTAATGCTGTCATCTTATTAGGCATTAGATAAAGAACGGATATTCAGGGCCAATGTACATATGTCAGCAGTAAAGTCTAGAAAACAAGGATGCTTCAGCATCCTTTGGGTCAAGGTTAAAGTTGAGTTTTAACGAGATTCTCTTACTTCCAGCATCACCACCTGAGGATATGCCCCAGAGGGGTCACCAGGGCAACTTAGCTTACATCTAGAAACTGCAGAGTTCATAAGAAAGCACAGCATTATCATAATTACTCTACCCCTGGAATGCTTTGCAGTTGATAAAGCTCACTCACATGTTAACTTCTTTGATTCTCATAAAAATCCCATAAAATTAGCACTATCCTTCTAGATCTACATTGCCTAGTTGACAAGAAATCACTGTTAATTACTTCAGGTTAAGAGGCTGGGCCCAAGTCTTTCACAGATGGAGAGGCTGTGACCACCACTGTAGGATTTTTTATTCCCAACCTGTGCTCCTCATAACAAGCTGTATGCAAGGTTCAACGGACTGCAACTTTACATTATTTTGATCTTAATATATACATATATATATAATATATTCCACATAAAAACAAATAATATACATACTCATACACAAGGAGCGGTATATCCTTAATAAAACTGAAGTAGACCACTATAATTTCATGTAAAAATCAGTTACTTCCCTAGTATATACATGCTAAATAAGTTTCATAAGTATCCTCCATCTTTGAAAGAGCTCTTAAGACCTGAGACTGACTCTGACTGTAGTCCATAAATTTATATAAATCTGAGTACACAAAAAATGCAATAATTAGGTACATAATAGCTATATGCTCTTTAGCACTTCCTTCACACAAAGAAAGCATCCGATTTTTGTTATTAGTATATTCCATTTGTCAAGGATGACCCCTGTCCTTACAAAGATCATGAACTTTTTCCAGATTTTTTGTGAGCTATATGCTAAATTAAGCAATGATGATTGATCAGTAAGATCTTCTTTTTTTTTTTGGAGAGGTTTTTGCTACAGGGTGTGTGCACTCTCCAGAGAGACAGGGACAGAGAGACAGAAAGCAAGAAATCACCACACCCCCCCAGGGGGGGGAATGGCCACACCACAATCCCTTCTCCTCCATTCTCTTCTCAGGACCTCGGGCACGCACGCACATGTGCCCGGTGTGAGTATAAGCCACCGGGTCCGGGACTCTAACCACAGTCGACTACATGGGAGTTCAGCGACATAGCCATTACCAGCTAACTGCTGGTCCCAACAGAAGACCCTCTTGATCTGAACTCCAGAAATGGCATCCTTCTGTTCATACTAACAATGTCTCCCATTTTGAAACATGACTCTATCTACTTGCCTGTGGAGTCTGTAGTGTTATCTGTGAAACAATAAGCAACTGCATTTTGGGCCATGGTTCTAGCAACTCATTTTCTCAGAAATAAGCAACCTCTCTTTTCCAGACATAAATGTTGAAGTTATTTTGGACTACTTAAGATTAAGAAGAGGAATCAATATTACATTTTACATGGCATTTGTCTCAATGTCTTTCATGTGCCAGAATTTACCTCATAAATGAGGTACATTATAGCAGCTGCCACATCCACATTTGAGTTAGTTTCTAGAAGCCTTTCATATAGTTTTACACATAGCAATTTAGATATATGTGGATCTTGTCACTCTGCATACCATTATAACATACAGAGTCTTAAATGAGAATGTTTTAAATATTTAAGATAGTAAAACCATAGTTGAGCCTGAGAATCATGATTGTGAAAAATAAGTGTTGGGTTTCAACACTGCTTTAGTCTCTATCGAATCCCATAGGTCACTTAGCTCCCCCAAACCATGTCATGTTGCTTGTTACATTCTCTCTTGATCTGAATAAAGTATTTAAAAGAGATGGAAATGCTAACTGGAATCCATTTTAATGTGTCCTTAAAGAGAAGACACAGGGGGACCAGCAGTTAGCGTAATGGCTATGTCGCTGGACTCCCACATAGTCAACCTTGGTTCGCATCCCAGACCCGGTGGCTTAAAACTCACGCCGGGCATGTGTACGTGCATGCCCAAGATCTCGAGAGGTGAACGGAGGAGAAGGGATTGCGGTGTGGCCATCCCCCCTGTGTGTGTGTTGGGGGGTGATTTCTCGCTTTCTGTCTCTCTATCTCTCTCTGTCCGGCGAGCGCACGTACCCTATAGCAAAAACCTCTCCAAAAAAAAAAAAAAAAAAGAGAGAAGACACAGGGCGGGACTGCTCCCTCTTAACCTTGTACAAAACAAAAAGATCAATAAATGCTTCTATAAAGACAGTCCAAAAGAATCCCAAATTTAAAAATCCAAGTTGCTTATAATGTATATCTGTTTTGTCATCAAAATGCCTAGTTGTAGTTGTATTTACTTCTCTTATATAACATATTCCAATTGAACTGAGGATTAAATAGAAATTTCTAGAAAAGTCTCAGGTTTGATAGTCATGTATTAATTTATCTGAGTACCACCGCAACTGTTGCTAATAATACTAAATTCATGGATAGATACAAAGGTATATCAGTGGGCAGAGATCTAAAATGCACTCTTTCTGGGACAGCTTTTAATTCCATTTTCAACAATGCTTTTTTTTAGTTGCAATGATAATCCATCCATGCATAATGGTACCAGCCCTTTTTCTGCACTCAAGAAATAAATGATGCTTGATTTATATATTTAGAGGCTGCTCCTAAGCCACAAAGTGAACTGAACGCAGCGTGCCTGCTCCAGCTGCACACTCACACTTTCCCAGGGCTGTTGAGTCAGGCCTGTGCTGTCATCAGGTCTGCAGACTTCCCTCAGAAAATCAGAAGACCAGCTGTTACGGATGGGATTTATCCATCTGTTGAACCAATCACATCCTATTCTCCAGTAAATGTACTTCAGCTTACTCTATCTGCTAAAGCAAATAGACTTAGATTCTAAACTTCACTATGAACATGCTAACAATTTCCTCTCTAGATTATACAAGCAGCAGGGGAAGGACCAAAGAGCAAGATGGCTGCCCAACTTGGGACCAGCAGTTAGCATAATGGGCACGCGCCCTATAGCGAAAACCTCTCAAAAAAAAAAAAAAAAAGATGGCTGCCCAACTTGGGACCAGCAGTTAGCATAATGGGCACGCGCCCTATAGCGAAAACCTCTCAAAAAAAAAAAAAAAAAGATGGCTGCCCAACTTGGGACCAGCAGTTAGCGTAATGGCTATGTCGCTGGACTCCCACGTAGTCGACAGTGGCTTGCGTCCCAGACCCGGTGGCTTAAAACTCATCCCAGGCGCGTGTGTGTGCATGCCCAAGATCCCGAGAGGAGAATGGAGGAGAAGGGATTGCGGCATGACCATCCCCCCGGGGGGGGATTTCTTGCTTTCTTTCTCTCTGTCTCTCTCTGTCTCTCTGGCGAGCGCACGCGCCCTATAGCGAAAACCTCTCAAAAAAAAAAAAAAAAAGATGGCTGCCCAACTTGGGACCAGCAGTTAGCGTAATGGCTATGTCGCTGGACTCCCACGTAGTCGACAGTGGCTTGCGTCCCAGACCCGGTGGCTTAAAACTCATCCCAGGCGCGTGTGTGTGCATGCCCAAGATCCCGAGAGGAGAATGGAGGAGAAGGGATTGCGGCATGACCATCCCCCCGGGGGGGGATTTCTTGCTTTCTTTCTCTCTGTCTCTCTCTGTCTCTCTGGCGAGCGCACGCGCCCTATAGCGAAAACCTCTCAAAAAAAAAAAAAAAAAAAAGATGGCTGCCCAACTTATTAGACCTGAAACCATGAAACTGATCTGAGGAAGACAGAAAGGCCTCCTTACCTGATAGGGGTAGTTGTACCAGCAGTGCCTTGTATTCCAGAACCAGGGGGTCTGAAAGAAAAGAACAAAGAAACATTACATGTTTTGGAAAAGAAATGAGACCAGAGATGTTTTCAACAGGCTCTCTTACCCCCAGAATTTGGGATTCAATCATTTACCTGTGTGAAAATTGAAGAACTTACAGCGACTAGAAATAACTTATTAAAGCAATTAGGGACGTGGGCAGTGGTACAACAGTAAACTCTACATTAGATGAGGCAGACTCACCTAGGGAGTCACCAGGTTCACACCTGGAGACCCCCTTGACTATGTCAGGCACCTGTATACCTATGGCCTGGGATTAGCTTAGGCCGAGGTGGGTCATAGCACCTAGAGCCCGTCACAGGTGCTATCTCTCTCTCACTCATTCATGGAAGAAATAAATAAGCTTAGAAAAAAGTGTTAAAAAAGCAATTAATATCCCATCACACATTTCCTCTGGATACTCTTCTAAAAATCAACTAATAGTATTTCAGGCTGCTTCTGAGATGGAGTCACAAACTGCTGTTTTTATATTTGGTTGATTGCTTACATATATTCCTGCTATGTAACCAGCCCCAACAGCAGAGCCATCAGGGGTGGGGGGGTCTCACTAAGACCAGATGCAAATCGTCCATCTCACTATTATCAATAAACAATGCTGACGGTTGCTACAAACTATCCTGAAACTCCTCAGATTCAATGTTTACAAAGCAACATTATTCATGCCTTGACCAGGGTTCAGAGATATGTGGGTACACTTGTCATTTCAGTAGATAGTTCAGACTAACCCCCACAGCACACTCACCCCCTATCTGTGGTCAAGGCTTTTTTTGGTTGTTGTTATTGTTGTTGCTTTTAAGTGACAGAATGCTCATTATTAACTTGATGGTAATTACTTGCCTTATGACACTGTGTAATCAGACAGAAAAATCTGAGCGTACTCACAGATTCTAAACATTTATAACAACATGGGGGAATTTTAAATGAGGAAGGAGTTGGTATGGATTTAAATAGGTAGGTGAACCAATGAATAATACCAGCACAGGGAACCAGCAGTTAGCGTAATGGCTATGTCGCTGGACTCCCACGTAGTCGACCGCGGTTCGTGTCCCGGACCCGGTGACTTAAAACTCACGCTGGGCGCGTGTGTGCGTGCGTGCCCAAGATCCCAAGAGGAGAATGGAGGAGAAGGGATTGCGGTGTGACCATCCCCCCTGGGGGGTGATTTCTCGCTTTCTGTCTCTATGTCTCTCTCTGTCTGTCTGGCGAGCGCACACGCCCTACAGTGAAAATCTCTCAAAAAAAAAAAAATAATACCAGCACAAACTTCCTCATGTTTGTGTGTCAATTTTATAAATATTGTTTGCATCCCTCATCTGCAGCTAGCAGCACAATCAGGTATACATCTGTATATATTTGATATGCATCTACATTTTTTATAGTTAATTCCCCACATTCTTATCAGCCCTGTACCATAGGAATGAAAATGATTAGTTTTAGTCAGCTAATGTTTCTTGAGTTCTTCCTACATCCTATACACTTTCAAAGGATCTCATATGTGACCCAGCCAATGCTGTGGTGGTGAAGGGGACTGGATTCCACAATGTCTGCTATGGAGTTTGAGTTCCAGGCTCAGTGAAAACCATGTAGGGCATGTGTATGTGAGTGCCCAGAATCTCATGAGGAGAATGGGGAAGAAGGGACTGCAGTGTGACCTTCCCCTGTGGGGTGGTAGTGCTTTTTAGCTTTCTTTCTTTCACTGTGTCTGGCAAGCACATGCATCCCTTAGCAACAAACAAACAAACAAACAAAAGGATCTTACATATGTGACATTTAATCCATAGTAGCTGCTATTATTTGTCTTGTTTTATAGATAGGTAAATGGAGGCCCTGAGTCTGTACATAATACCCAGGTTAAATAACTAGGCAGTGTCAGAGCTTGAAATCAGGCTGCGTGGTCGAAAACCCAAATGTAGTTTGATAAAACTGAACCAGGCTTCAGTGTACAAGCCAGATCGAAAGACAACACCAGTCCATATCCTAAATCTAAAAATGTTCAGGAATCACATATTTCCCTTTCATTTTCAAAACTACTCATTCTCTTTCCTTTGCGAAGTTTTTACTCTGCCCATCTGCTATCCATTAAAAACTGCCTATATCATGAAATCTTTCTGCACTTCACCTTCTGAGTCACTGAGTTGTGTATGAGTGTCCTCCATTTTTCTCACGTACAGCAGTGATGTTCATTATTGACTTCATGGGGTGATTGTGGGGTTAATATGAGATAGTGTACTTAAAAATAGTTTAGATGTGGGACCAGCAGTTAGCATAATGGCTATGTCGCTGAACTTCCATGTAGCTGACCGCAGTTCGAGTTCTGGATCTGGTGGCCTACACTCACGCCAGGTGCATGTGTGTGCGTGCCCAAGATCCTGAGAGGAGAATGGAGGAGAAGGGATTGCAGTGTGGCCATCCTCCCCCTGGGGGGGTGGTGATTTCTCGCTTTCTGTCTCTCTGTCACTCTCTGGCTTCCTGGGGAACGGACACGCCCTATAGCAAAAACCTCTCAAAAAAAAAAAAAAATCAAAAATAGTTTAGATGTTTCAAAAGTGTAATACAAGCATGTTGTTATTATCATTATTATTATTATAGTTATATAAACATTATGTTTTATGGAGGAAGATACAGAAAATATAGAACAGAACAAACTAAAATAAAAATAATTTAAATTTTCATAACTTTTAGCATTTTAATCTTTTGTGCTATGTAATATAGATTTAAATATAGGTACAGATTTATTTTGAAACACACTTATATATGCAGGTTTTAAAAATGGGACCCAACAGGGACCAGCAGTTAGCATAATGGCTATGTTGCTGGACTCCCACGTAGTCAACCACGGTTCGTGTCCCGGACCCAGTGGCTTAAAACTCATGCCAGGCGCGTGTGCGTGCGTGCCCAAGATCCCGAGAGGAGAATGGAGGAGAAGGGATTGTAGTGTGACCGCACCCCACTGGAGGGTGATTTCTCGCTTTCTGTCTCTCTGTCTCTCTCTGTCTGTCTGGCGAGGGCACGTGCCCTATAGCAAAAACCTCTCAAAAAAAAAAAAATGGGACCCAACACATCAAAAGCTATTTTTTTTTAAATTGCTTTTTTTAAATACACTCACCAGAAAGACACGGAAACACACAAAGAGAGGTAGAGAGGGAGAAGTGTCCCCTCCAGTGGGGTGTGGTCACACTACAATCCCTTCTCCTCCATTTCTCCATTATGTCTGGATTTGGGGCATGTATGACGTGCACCCAGCAAGTTTTTCAAGCTGCCAGGCCTGGGATTTGAAACACTCAGTCAGCTGGGTGCAATCTAGCTCCCTTAACCACTAGGCCATAGGGATGGCCACACCAAAATCTATTTTAAAGTACAAAATCAAAGTTAGTTTTTATCCTTTTGTCTGATAAAGTTTTTTTATTATCTCTGTAAGTAACTGAAAATCCCTGAGGGAAAATTAGATCACATCTTATTTCCCTCCCACCCCCCAATCTATGCCCAAATTGAGAGTTTAGCATTCATCTACTGAATGCTAAAGAAAAGGAACACAGAATGAAATGGGAGGCCTCTCACAAACCTAGCAGTACTTTTCTGAATCACAGTTTCAAGCCTGTAGGACGTGTGTGTGCTTGCTCCAAACGATGTAGCAATATCTCTTCCATGGTGGTCATTCCTTCCTGTCACAGGTAGGGGAGCAAAATTATGACTCCCAGTGACCAAGAAAAATCCATAATTCACAGCTTTCCTTCCTCTTTGAGTTTGTTGGATGATTAGTTTTCTTTGAAAGCCCAGGTTTTTCCTGTGTGGATTGGATGTGCATCACCCAGACCTGCTTCTATCTTGTGCCAGATACCTGACTGACCTGCAAAACAGCAGTTGAATATTGTCTCTCACCAGGTTCCTGCCCACCTGCAGTAAGAGAAAAGGCTGAATATTGTGCATTTGATACAACAATGAGGGGCCCTAGCTGAACTTATAAACTTGTTTACCAAGAAAATTTTTTTTAGATTTTTTTTTTTGCCATAGAGCATATGCACCAGCCAGAGAGAGACAGAAAGAGACAAAGACAGGAAGAGAAAGTGAGAAATCCCCAGGGAGGATGGCCATATCACAACCCCTTCTCACCCATTTTCCTCTCAGGATTTTGGGCATGCACACACATATGCCTGGTGTGTTTTTCAGGTTGCTGGGTCAGGATTTGAATCACAAAGTTGGCCATGTGGTATCCACCACACTACCTGCTGGCCCACCCAACATTTTACCAAGTTATTTTCTGTACAGTGTGTGTTCACATACACTCCTTGCTTTGACAATAATAAATATTAATATCAGCTTCTATATGTACAGGACATTTTTCTTCCATTATGGGTTTATGTTATGCCCTCAAAACACTGTGAATCAGGGAGAGCATATATCTTTCCCAATGTTGAGATGAGAAAACGGAAGTCTGTGAGAAGGTGATTCTCTTCATTTACAGCTCAGCAGTGGCATGTGAGCCTGGATTGGCTGCTTGTCATTTACCAGGTTAAGTATGACTTTCAAAATATGTATCAATATCATGAAGTTGTCATTTATTCATTTTCTCTATTGATAAAAATTTTGCACTTTTCTAAGTATCTTTTAAAAACATTTGCATATTCACCTTAGGTCAAAATCTGTATATTTCATCACACAAGTTAAAGAACAGCAACATAATTAAGAACACAAAAGATGGATTGATCGACGTGGTGATGTGATTCTCTCCCGTGCCAGGCTTTGGTTGTGCCAGACCAAAAAAGTTTATGAAACAGTATAATGGAACAATTTAGACATCATAGAAGAGTGATGGTGATTAAAAATACATTGAAAACCACTGATTTAGAAGGATGGGCTTAGCGTGTCCCTAAACAATAGTAAAATTTTATACCTAAGAAAGTACATGGCGGGCCCCGCGCCAAGGCGGCGGCGGGAGGCGGGCCCTGCGCCCCCCGGGCCCTGCGCCA